TGTCATGCTGGGTAAGGTGGAGGGTCAGAGAAAAAGAGGAAGACCCCCAATGAGATGGATCAGCCAGGTGGCATCATTAATGGTGTCAAGTGTGGCAGTGGTAGTGAGGTTGGCCCAGGATCGGACATTGTTTCGTTCTGCTGTGCATGGGGTCACTATGGTCGGTTCCGACTCGATGGCACCTGACAACAACAACAATAGAAGAAACAGTGTATTTGAGTTATGGTGTTGGAGGAGAATATTAAAAGTACCATGGACTGCCAGAAGAACATACAAATCTGTGTTGGAAGGAAGTTACAGCCAAAATGCTCCTTAGAAGCCATGATGGCAAGATTTCATCTCTCATACTTCAGACATGCATATTGGGAGGAACCAGTCCCTGAAGAAGGACATCATGCTTGGTAAAATGGAACATAAGAGAAATAGAGGAAGACACCCAAGGAGATAGACTGACGCAGTGGCAGCAGAATTGGGCGCAAATGTAACAATTGTGAGGTGGAATTCCTCAAATGTGTGATATTGGTGGTGGTGGTGGTGTGCCGTGGTTCTGACTCATAGCGACCCTGTAAAGGGTTTCCGTGGCTGTAAATATTTACAGGAGCAGAAAGCCTTATATGATTTCGAACTGCTGACCTTGAGGTTAGTAGCCCAACTCGTAACCACTACACACCAGACAAGAGCTGGGTTCAACATATAAAAATTGTTGAAATGGTATATATTTTATTACATATATAAAAATAAATAAAATAAAAAAAGATTGAAAGACTAATACATTATTAACATGGATGAATCGGGAATAGGTTTGTTAAGTGAAAGAAATCAATCAGAAAAGAACATATTTAGTTGATTCCATGGATCTGAGAAGTTCTGATGAGGCAAATCTTGAGGTAGAGAGGTGATTTCCAGTGGATAAAAGATGGGACATTAGCTATGATTTCAAGGCACTGTTACTCAAGTGACACCTATCCCTTGAGTCCCATAGGATAAAAACTGAATTGGTGTGACCACATCACATTTTGGAAAACTCAGTTTATGGTATGTATATCTATATCTAGATATCTATATATAGAGAGAGATACACATAGAGAGTGAGCTTTGTTTTCTAAATTTTTCCTCTTTTCACATGATATTGTGAATATTGTCAATGCCATTAAAAGGTTTGTGAAACATACATCCATTATATATTGATTATATACATCCTAGTACATTCATGGGAGCCCTGGAGGCACAGTTGTAAAATGCATTGCTGCTAAGCAAAAGGTTAGATCTGTGGTTTCCACCCACCAGCTGGCTTCCATAAAGATTACAATCTTGGAATGTTTGGGGGACGGTTCTATTCTGTCCTGTGGTGGTGGCTGGTTGTGCGCCATGGAGTGGGTTCTGACTCATATCGAGCCTGTATGGGGTTTCTGAGGCTGTAAATCTTTATAGGAGCAAAAAGCCTCATCTCTCTCCCATGGAATGGCTGGTAGTTTTTAACTGCTGACCTTGAGGTTAGCAGCCCGACTTGTAACCACTATGCTAGACTAACTAAAGTCAAATTTTACTTAAAGTGGTGGGGTTTGGGCAGTGGAATTATGTGTGTATTAGGAAGTGAGTTTAAAAAAAAAAATTCAGCATAGTATAGCAATGGAGATGGAGCTTTGGTAGCGTAGTGGTTATGAATCGGGCTGCAAACCTTAAGGTCAGCAGTTCTAAACTACTAGCTGTTCCATGGGAGAAAGAGTAGGCTTTCTGCTCCTATAAAGATTTACAGCCTCGGAAACCCTGTATGGGGGTTGCTATGAGTTGGAGCCAACTCCACGGCACATAACAACAACAACAACAACAACATAGCAGAAAAACAAACATATCTTTATTACAGAGGGCCAACCTTGGAGTCCCAGTGTGGCTGGCACTATAGAATAAAACACCAGGCTGCAAAGTTCCGTGGTTCAAAATCACCAGATGAAGCTTTATAGATTCAGAAACTACCAGATACTATCAGGGATTTAGCACCTACTCACAGATGTGGTTGGAGGGGCCCAACTTGAATAACAAAAGATACTCTAACTCAGAAGAATCTAAGATTTAGAATTTACCTTCCAGGTACCTGAGACAAAGGTCAACCAAATCCTTTAGTACTCAGATTTAGAGGTCACCTCAAGGTAGTAGGGACAAATGCCATGCAATTTCTTTAAGACCTTCAGTCCTCTTTTTCCCTGAGAACAGGCAGATGGAGGACCAGGCATGGTCCAGGTCCATGGTCCATGGTCTGAAGGGCCAGACCCTTCCCAGAAAACAAACAAATCACAGACAATTGCTTGGAAGCTGTAGATCCTGAGGCGGCAGGCATGGGTGAGAGTCAGGGGTCTGCACCCTAATCTCCACCACTGAATTCACTGATTAAATGCTTGTAGGCCCCACAAAAGTAGAGAAAACACTATTTAAAAAAATAATTATATACAGTAAGTCACCAAAAGGAAATCTAGAAGGAACACATTTAACCTCACTATTGTCTAGAATGTGTTTTATTAATATTTTGTTACAGAACTATGCCATGCATTCCTCCAAATATCTTAACATCTCAGTGTTCCAAACTCCAGAAAGGTTCCATCAGCAGGTGACCTGGCTGTCCAGTTCCAGCTGCAGAAAATGAGAGAGACTAAGCTTGAGCAACTGGAGAGAAGCAGACATGGAGAGGAACGGGGACATTCAGAGCTTGAGGTCCCCATACTAGAGGGAACTGGCATCCAGCCCTCACCTCATACCCCATCACCACCCCTTTCTCTTCCTGTTCTCACCTTGAGTTTGGCAGAGTCTTTACTTGGCGCAGAACCTAGAGATAGGTGAACTGAGACACTGGGACTTTGCTCCCCGAACCTTCAGCCTCACAACATACATCTTCTGGGGGCCATAGGAATCTGGACAGCAGAGCTCAAAGCAGGGCCAGAAGGTACAGCTGGGGCCACAGAGACGGGTCTGGTTTAGGGGTCTGAGGACCCCATAATCACAGCACTGTTCCAAAGGGTTGTAGATCTCGTTCCCGCACCTGGGCGCTGGTCGGCATGCCCACAGTCCTGAGTTAGTGGGATCAGCTGGGAGATACAGAGTTGGTGTTGGTTCCAAGAAACTAAGACAGTACCCATATAGTGGTCCCATGTGCACCTCTTCCCCCACCTCCTTGCTAAATGTGTCTTCTCTCCCCATGGTTCTCACCTGTGTTTATACCTGTACCTGTCCACAAAATGGTGAGGATACCAACAGCAGCTATGTGGGAGAAAGAGAAGTGAGGATGAGGCTGAGAGGGACAAGGTCTGCGAAATAGAGAGAGAAGCTCTGAGGTTGGATTTGGTTCTGGCTAAGATGCAGAACTTATTTGCTAATGTGTGTTGTTCTGTGGTGACTTGTGTGTCGCTGTCATGCTGGAAGCTATCAGGGGAAAACATATTGAGAACGGGACCAAAAAAGTATGAAAAAATGGAGAAATGATGGAAGTTGTCAAGGATTTCATTGTCCTGGGATCCACAATCTGCCCATGGAAGCAGCCGTCAAGAAATTAAATACTGCATTGGGCAAACCAGCAACAAATGAGGTCTGACCCAAGCTGTGGTATTTTCAATCACCTCATCTACACAAGAAGGCTGAAGAATTGATGTTTGGAGGGGACACAGGGGAGAGAGATGGTTGGACTTGTAGGATGGGAAGAATGAGCAGTCTGCAGCTAGGCTGGTTTGGAGCTCTTTTTCCTCAATAAATAGTCGATCGCCATTCTGCAGGTTGGTCTTGTGAATCAGAAGATGAGAGAGATAGAATTTAACTGTGGTTCTTGACAAAGCATGAGATGGGCAGACACATGGGAAGGAGTCTGAGAAGGAGAAGGGAGTGGAAACAACAAGGAGGAGACAGAAGATAGAAGTCAGGGAGAAACTGGAAGAGAAGAGACTTCATAGGAGGAGGCAGAGAAGGAGGGAGAGAGGATAGGACATGGGATGGAGGAAGAAGCAGCAGGAAGAGATGAAGAGGTGTGGGGAGAAAGGGGAGAGGCTGCAGGGGAAGAAGGAGAACGGAGGCACCACCAGGAGAGGTGGGATAGGAGACTCAGGAGCAGGGCTGCAAGCTTTTGGGCAGGTGCTGGCTTTAGTGTGGGAGGGTGTAGGGCTGAGTGTGCAGGAAGGGGAGGGTCTGAGCACTGAAGGTCACAGTGGGGTCCCACTTACCCAGCCTGTAGCTGCTGGTCGTCATTCCTCTGGACCAGGCTTTGAGCTGTTAAGCAGACAGAAGGGAGACAAGATCTGAGCTAGGGGCCCTCTCTCCACCCTGGATGTGCAGAGTCTGGGGAAGTATCTGGGAGGGGGTGGTGGAAAAGGGATTGTGCCAAAGGAAGAGAGACAGGAAGGGAAGGTGCGCTTTTCTGAAGACATGAGTAAATGCTGGGCGAGACACAGAGGGACAAAGGCAGACTAGACAGGAAAAGAGATGAGGAGAGGCCAGAAGACAGTTTGGGTACCAGGGACAGGGGAGGGTGGGAAACAGCTGGAGGGGTGATAGAGAGAAAGAGTAGGGATCAGAGAAATAAATACTGAGAGACACCCAGGACAACTGAGGGCTGGAGAGGGCAGGGAATGGAGGACAGACAGGTGACAAGGCATGGACTAGGAGAGACAAGGCCAGCGGAAGGGAAGAGAGACGTATACAGAGGCAGGGAGGAGGGCAGAGTGGGAAGACACTGGGCACAGGGGAGTCAGGAAAGACCGGATTCTGAAGAGAGGTGGAAATTCTGAGAAATGGGAGAGTAGAGAGGGAGGCAAGGAGGAGAGACACGAGGATAGACCACAGCCTACTAGAGCCCAGAGGCTGGGTGTACTGGGGAACACAGTAGGAGGCTCAGAATCTCTGGGGGACTGAGCCCAGGGAAGGCAAGAGCCCCAGTAGTCTGATGTTAAGGGGCAAGGGTTCCCCCTTCCCCACAACACCAAGACTAAATAAATCTCTGGATAGTCCTCATTATCAGAGGACCAAACCAAGATCAGGTTCTGATGTTAATTCCTGTTCTCATAAGCATATATCCCCAAACCTACCAGTTAACATTTAATAATTCACGAGGTCACGTGAGATAAAAAGATGATGTAATCACAGGCATTGACCATCAAAAGAATTACTAGAAATGTGAGCTTCCAGGGAGTAATTGAGACAGATGGGGACTCGGAACTAAAAACACCCTATCTTTAGCGAGAGAGATTCCTGTGGCCCACCACAATGCCAATGTCTCTTCACCCCCCATCAAACAGCAGCAAGTGCAGGAACCACACGGGACTGGGTTCCTCAGAGAGGATCTTTCTCTCTCCAGCCCCACACCTTTCTTACATGTTGTCAGAAGAACCAATAGTTCAAGGAGGACGCAGAATATTCAGGCCAACGGAGGAGCTGCAGGCAGAAGGCACCTGGGACACCTGTCTACATCTGGGGGTCTAACTTCTGACAGCCTGTGGGATGTCCTCCCTTGGGACTCTGACCTTCCTACTGATGATGATCAGACTGAATGACTCTGCTGTGGTCTTTACAGAATCCATATGGCTCTGAAACGTGAGTATTAGGAGACCCTTATTCTCACAGGGTGGAGGGGGATAGAGTGAGGAGACTAGGTAGGCATCTTATTTCCTTATTTAGGAGAAAACAAAACAAAATCCCTTGGAAAACTGGGTGGAAGCTGTCGGGTTCCTGAATGAGGTATTGGGCACAGATGAGAGTCAGAACCCCATGCCCCTACCTCCATCGCTGATTTCACCAACTAGGGGTTTGTCTTCCACACAAAGTCAAGGACAGTTTCTCTTTGATAATTATCCAGCCTTTTGAATCTAAGAAATCTAGAAAGAAGAGCTTTACCCTGACCACACCCTGAGTCGTGTGTTCTAACATCACTTTATTACAGAACAATGCCACCCACTCGGTCTGATAGCTTAGAATCTCTGTGTTGCCAGGCTCCAAGGAGGCTCCCACAGGATGGTGGTCTGGCTGTGCATCTTCAGCTGCAGAAAAATGAGAGACCAAGACTGAACTACAAGAAAGATGCAGACACAGAGAGGGATGGGGACATGCAGGAATGGGGACTCGCAATATGGAATGACTTAGATCCCTTCCCTGCCACATCCCCTCTCTCTGTTCTCACCTTGGGTAAGGCAGAGTCCTTACCTGGTATAAACCCTGGAGACGGGCAAACAGGGACACTTGGACTCGATGCCATGAACCTTCAACCTTATCACATATGTCCTCTGGAGCCAGAAGACTCCAGATAAGAAAGCTCAAAGCAGGGCCAGAAGATGCAGATGGGACCATAGAGTAGATCTTGTGCCCAAGATGACACGCCGCCAGCATTGAGCTGAGCAAAACCCATTGATGCCTCAGTTGCCAAGTCTTTGGGAGACACATAGTTTGTGCTGATTCCAGTAAGCAAGACATTCAACAATCCCCTCTGCAGTCTGGACCTTGCCCCCATTCTTAAAGATGCTTCCCCCACTCCACCCCATCGTTGCCTGTGATCCCACCTGTACCTGCTTGTAGTGAGTTTGAATTCATTCCAAGGTGCTCAAGGAAAAACATATGATCATGAGCTAGCAGTGTTGCTCAACAGGTTGTTTACTAGGGCAGACACATTGACAGTCATATGCAGGGACGGTGTCCCATAGAAGGAGGACTTCCAGAGAGCCACCAGAAGGGAAGGAGAGTGTCACGCCCACTCTGAAGGAATCTGCGTGACAAAGGTCGCCGGATTGGAGGCATTGGCTTCAAAGGGGAGCAAGCCCCTCGGAGTTGTTCCAGCTAGATTTATAGTCAGCCTTTAAATTTCTTGCTTTATTATATATTTGTGTGCTTTTCTTGTGCTTCCATAGCAGACCCCTAAGTGATGTTGTTTTAATAATCATACCCGACCCCTGTTTTAATAAAGTCGTTGTGCTCTGAGAAGTTGGCAGAAGAATAGAGGTTACAATTAGCTGTGTAGAATTCACATTTAGGTCATGTTTGACAGAGCATTTTGGCCACAATGCATTCACCTGTTTGAAATAAATTGTTAACTTAACATTCACACACAATACTGAAGATAATAGAACACTAGGAGTTAGAAAAACAGGATATAAGAAAAGATCACATAGGAACATATGATTAACTTGAAACATTATGATGGTATATATTGAAATCAGATAATAAAAAGAATGTGGTGATCACACTTACGTCCTTTCCTTTCCCTCACAATAAAGCAATTATTGCAGCTAGTGAAGCATAAGTAGTCTTAACAGAATATGGTAGAAGAATCATTAAATGTAGATGTTTAACTATAGAACTAAAAGTTTCTGATATATTTCAAAGAAACTGTGATTACGCACATCCCCTGACTATTGTTGTAAAGAAAATAATTACTGATTTTCTGAAACTAGCATTGATTAAACACTTATGTAAGTAGTAAAACGATATAAAAACTGTGGTCTTAGAGCAATAAAGAGAGACGTCTTTGGATGGAAAAAGAGTCTCCGTGAATTCATTCGCCGAATTATTTCCCACCAACAAAGACACCCATGGGGTCTCACCCCCTCCACTGTAGTGGTCGGTAGCAGGAGAGCAAGGATGTGCCTGAGGAAGAGGAGACAGCAGGGCTTAGATGAGTCTAGATGTTCTTTCTGCAGCAAAGTAGAAGGAATGTCTCTGGGTCAGAGAACTTCCGAGGACGGCAGCTGGGGGTCCTTAGAAAGACAGGGTTTTATCAAAAGTTTAAGCACTCAATGACTAGGTCCATAAGAGCCTTAGGAGATAGGCCCACTCATCACAGCCCTGAAAACCCTCCAGAGCAGTTGTAGCTTACACACATGAAGTCACCATGAGTAAGAATGAACTCAACAGCTAATAGCATTACTCCAAACAAGTCACTGGATGGCTCGAATAGTTAAATACTTGACTACTAACCTAAAGCTGGGCACTTCCAACCCACCCACTGGCACCTCGGAAGAAAGGCCTGGTGCTCTGCATGGGAAAGGTCATGAAAACCCTATGGAGCAGGTTGAGTTTACAGAGTTTCACAGTCCCATCGTGTTGTTCCAGGGCACACTCAGCCCTGCCTTGGCATTTGCCAGTCTCTCCTAGCCAGCACTTCCACTTAGATGAGTGGCTTCGGTTTCATCAGGGGAGGGATCTGGCCTGACCACACATCAGCTATTATTCAGCTAAACAGAGGTCGGCCAGAAATTCTTCAGTGCACTGGTTGAGCAAAAGAGTAGCGTAGCTGGCTGAGTTTTCTGGTGCTGGCTTTCTGCTCCTGTAAAAATGTACGGTTTCGGAAGCCCTATACCTAGTTCCACAAGAAGTCATACCTAATTCCATGGCCCTTAGCAGGAACACCACAAGTGGACGGCTTAAACAAACAAACAAAAAAATTTATTCCATTTAAAGAAGCTCTGGTAGCATAGTGGTTACAAATCAGGTTGTGAACCTTAAGGTCAGCAGTTTGAAACTACCAGCTGTTCCGCGGGAGAAAGATGAGGTGTTCTGCTCCCGTAAAGATTTACAGCCTCAGAAACCCTGTACAAGGTCGCTATGAGTCGGAACTGACTCCACGGCACATTACAACAACAACAACAACAAAGAGCCTAGAAGTCCGAATTCAGGCTCTGGAGAAGGCTCCTTGTTTCCTTTAAGCATCTATAAGCCCGGTATTCCTCAGAGCTCTTCATGTGTCTTGGCATCAATCTCCCACTGGATCTAGGAGCTTCCCAGCACAGGGACCCCAGGTTCAAAGTACACACTCTGCTCACTCACTCACTCACAGCTTTTTCTTGGTGACAATGAGTCGCCCCACCCCCCTTTGAATCCCTTCTCTTTCTTTCAAATCCTTGGGAAACGCCCTTAGATCAGATCAGGGATGTGATGGGATTAAGGGATTAAGGAATCCTGGTGTGACACTGTGGGTTAATGAACTGGACTGCAGAGTCAGTTTGAACCTCAAGGTTGGCAGTTCAAGCTCACCAGTCACTCTTTGGAAACACTATACAGGGTCACTATGAGTCAAAACTGAGCACTTAACAACATCCTACCCTAGCATAGTGGTTACCAATCAGGCTGTGAACCGCAAGGTCAGCAGTTCGAAACTACCAGCTGTTCTGCGGGAGAAAGATGAGGCATTCTGCTTCCGTAAAGATTTATAGCCTCGGAACCCCTGTACAGGGTCACTATGAGTCAGAACCGACTCCACGGCACAC